TACTCTCTCTCTCTCTCTCTCTCTCTCCTTCTTCTTCTTCTTATTCCCTCCTCCTCTCCTCGCCCCTTGGCGCTCCGCTAAAACGGTTAAAATGCCTCTTGTAAAACCATACGCAGTCGGCTATGGTCGGCCCCTGCGGGACTTGTGTCGATAAGATAGCATTGCCTCGATATCCCTTTAAGACTCATCCGTTCTCATCCCCGGCATCTTCCTAAGATCGCTATCCTCCGAGGAAATATCCTATCCTGCCGGGAGATGTGCTCCGCTTCATCTTCATTCGCTCGCCCTGTACGCCCGGAAACGGAGAGCCCAAATGGGATAGTTAGCGCGATCGAAGCGAAAGAACATTCCGCCGATCGAGCGACGCGCAGCTTCCGCGTCAGCGGAGGCGTCGTCGTCCGTAAACGTCAGCGTCGTTCGCGACGATCGCCGTTATTTTCTCATCGATCGCGGCGGAGATCTTCACGTTAATTAGGCGTCAAATCAAGGCGTCGGCCCAACAGCCGGCAGAGATCGACGAGATTCCCCACGCGGAAACGCAAGCAACATATTCGATTAACGCTCATCAACGTAATACGTAATGTACCCCCTCTCCCCTTCCCACCTCCCTCTCCCCGGGTTGTCCAGGGTGAGAAGTCCATCGATCCATCGTGCGCCGAGAAAGAATATTTAGCGTAAATAATCGCTCAGTCGCGTGCGGACCCCATCGGGGCTTTAATTCGCCGTAACCGTCCTCAGATTTTCGGCCGATACGACGCTAAAGGCGAGCGGAGTTCGAAATCGATCTGATCGAAGAGAGAAGGGTGAGAAGGGTGGAGGAGGAAGAGGGGACGGATCGACAGGATCCCCGAGGTTACTTTCTCTCCTCCCGAAATAATCCCGGGTGAAAGAAACTACCTCCTCCGTCGATGGATTAGGGAGCGAAGCTTTTCGATGTTTAATTAACGTCGACCGGATAAGCTCCGTTACAAGAAAGCTCGACCGATCGCCGGATAATCGGAGAGAGAGCGAGAGTGCGAGAGCGCGAGCGAGGGAAAGAGAGGGGCGAGAGAGAGAGAGAGAGAGGGAGCTTCGTGGAAGACCTTTTCAGAGGATATATCTCGACGGGAGTCCGTTGGGCTCGATGGACGAGCTCTTCAGTCGGGATTTAATTTTGACTCGGCTTTATCTCCACGTCGATCCTGGATTTATGGTGATTAATTCGCTCGGCTTGCTGTTGATAGAAATTAAAGTGGTACCGTCCGTCCGTTCGCCGGCCGAGCGCTCTCCCGCGCGTTCTGTCGCGCCTTATCGCGATAATTGTTCGCGTGTCTTCGCAACATTATTTTTTTTTCCCCGAGAGCGCGAGGGAAGCGTCGCCCTCCCAAAAATCTGTAATAATCCGATTAGCTCCGGCGTCGGCGGCGGCGGCGGCGGCGGCGGTGGCAGAAATTAGGAAGATCGCGATTACGACCGACACATTGTCGCGCGCATTACCGCGAGGCGCTAATGCGCTCGTGTCACACTGCTAGAAAAATATAGTTGGATTAACTATAATCTCACTATATTTTATAGTTCATTTTGGAGTCAACCATATTTTTATAGTTGGTGGAACCTGCAAAATATAGTAGAATTAACACAAACATATAGTCAATGATTGTCTCAAATAATTGTTTAGTTACTTTTACCACACACATATATATATATATATATATATATATATGATAATTTCTCATTCACAAATATAGTGAGATTTAATATTCATATAGTTACATCCGTCATCATTTAGCAAATATTCTGGTAATAATATTGACTATATAAAAGAGTGACTTTACCTACCATTTTACATTTGTATCCATACCAATAATTTTAGTTTAACTTACTATAATTCTTAGTAAAAATATTATATGGTTGGTTATTCTATGCCTATATCGTAATTATTACCGATATTATGGCAATACTTACTATAAATATGATATTTCGGGCTATAATTTAGTTACTATATCATTATATCATTTCAACCATCATATACTTTTCTCTCAGTGCAGTTTCCCCGACAGGTTCTGATACTTGATCCTCCTCTCTCGGGCAAGTCTTTTGTCGTGAAGAAGCGGCAGGTTTCGAACATTTGCGAGATAATCGTCACTGTAAAGTCAACACACTCTCGAATTTCCCGACGATATACTTAATCGGACGATTGTACCTTCCGCGAAAATACAGAGAAAAATGCTCCGTCTAAACGCGTGTTACCCGTCATATTAACAAAGGCATTCGGATTTTATTCGCGTCGTATCGCGTAATCCACGCTGAAGCGTACACGTATATCCCCAGAGCGCAAGTTGCCACCGATCTTCATTTGCAGCGCTCGCCCCGCGCCGACGATTATGTAATTCGCGATATTCAATTTACAACAGACCGAATTTATGAAAATCGTATTTCCGCGCCGCGCCGCGCCGGGAGACGCGCGAGTGATTAATTATCAGCGCCCGTAACACCCAATTCTACCAGTCGCGCTCGCGCTCGCGCTCGCGTGTCCGCTCGTGTTTGCGCGGATGAAATAACATTTCGACCGGTAAAGCATTATCTTGATTGGCAGGTACGAAGGCGGCGGCGGCGGCGGCGGCGTCGAAATTTAACGGGTGATTGAAATTATATCGCTCAGCCGCGCGCCGCCGGGCGCTCAGGATTTTCTGGGGTTTCGAGACGCGCCGAAACGGCAATCTTCGAATTTCGTGGTGGCTGTACCAATGGGCAGCGGCGCGTTTCGGACTTGCGTAATCCATGTTTAGAACCGGCCGGATCGGATTCCACGCGAATTCCAATTTCGCTCTACTTCATTACTTCCCATCCTCGAAGCCTCGCCTCGCCTCGCCTCGCAGATGCTCCATGGTATTCGCCGAGCGCGGGCGTTCTCGCGTCCACAGGGCGTCCCAGAAGCCAGCGAATCTCTCCCACCGCGAGGATCGTCCAGGCTAAATTTTGCGTTTCCCGATCTTACGGTATACTTGCGCACCCTCGACTCCTCGCGACATCGCGATCTGAAATTTACTCGCGAACTTATCCATTCGCGGTAAGCTCGCTGCGTTCTCAACGCAACGGTGGAAATTTGCGTGTGCGCGACGAGCTCTCTGTGAGAACCGGCTCGTGTATTTATGAAACAGCAGGAACGGGGAAAGGGAATAAAGTAACGGCGGCGCGCGTTGCTATCTAAAGCCACGCTTGTCGCGGAGGCGGCGGCGGCGGCGGCGGAATCTCGATGGAGAACCGCGACGGGGGCTTTCGTGTAAAGTCAACGCCGACGTCATCGTGCTTTCGCGTTTACCTTATCGGCGGGGTATCGCGTCAAAACTATTACCGCGATAAAGCCGTTATTAACACGAGGCGAAAAGAAGAAACGACGCACGCGAGGCCGCGCGGAAGTGGAAGCGGACCGTGAATGGGTCTCCCGCGCGATACGTTTAATTGTTGCGCGCTCCGCGAGCGGAGCGAGGCTTATTTATCGCGAGGCTAACGGCGTAACGTGAATTATGAAAAGTCGATCAAAGCGTTCGCGCAGCGCTCACAGTGCCGCAATTTCGCGCGATGGCTGTCTCCCCGGCCGTGATCTCGCCGTGTTCTCATCGATTTGCGCGTAAAGCGTGACTAATTTGCATCTAACGAATTCGACTCCCGGCCGAGCCGGGTATTTTCCGCGAGTTTCCCTCAAACTTGCTTAATAATCACGCGAAAATTATGACGAGAAATCGAGAGACGCGGCGGAAAAATCTCTCGATTTTTTCGTAAGAATTAGATCCTTCCCCCTCCCCCGCGCGCGCGCGCGCGCAAACGACTCGTAGCTCGCTGAAAATCCGACAACGAGTTGCGCCGCCGAGATATTGAATTATGTTTCCTCGTTATCAGTGTGGTACATCGTGACGATTAAAATCTCGTGAGCCACTTTTTGCTCTCGCCGAGTCTCTCATCCCGATGTCGAGACATGAAGCCAAGAGACTTCACTCTGACGAATGTATGCGTCCTCTGGGCCCGCCGTTGCCGCGACTGCACCGCGACGATGATTGTCCCAGGGATTGCCCCGAGTCTTGGCGATTGAAGTTCGAACGACCGATGTATTACGGTGAACATATACATCTGCATTTCCCGGGCCGCTATTCCGTGCACGTTTACCGACAATTGTCTCGGCTCGGTAGCTGTCGTCGGGCGCAGCCATTTTACGATATGATTAGACACGCGCAACGACACTCGGCGAGTCGACGGTAATTGTGTACGGAATAATGGCCCAAGAGACGTACGAGGTTTGATCGAAAAGTAAGGAGAACTAATGTTGCTCGACTAATATTTCTCGGCTTATTTAGTACCCGCTATGTTTTATTTTAAATATACCCAGTGATCCATTAATCACTGCCCCAGATAAAACATAAAATCATTTTGACGTCAAAATGACATAATTTTTATATTATTTGACGTCACCTTGACTTTTATATGATCTTGTGTTCTACTTACTGTACTCTTTCAGGACCGTAATCAGTACTCTTTTATACACTTTCTTTTACCGGTCTTTTACTCTTTTTTTATGACTGGGATATATAGTCACCCTACTCGCGCCGAATCGGGCAAGAAGGCGACGCTGGTCGATCCCATCGCCTGCTGATGTTTGCCTCGAATAATAGCGATGACAGCGATCTCTTATACCGCGAATAATTACCCGCGTACGTTATCACCGCCGGAATCTGTTTCTCCAGAGAGCGGAGAGAAAAGATCCGGTTGGACGAAGCGGTTTTTGCTGAAACATGAAAGCGGCAGAATCCTGCCGCTCGAGCTTTAACCGGGCATCTTGGCAATTTAGACTGAACCCCGATAACCTCAGCCGGGACTGAGCTGTATCGTTCGTACTCCGCCAGAAAAAATGGCCTCACTCTCGACCAAACATTTTTCTGCGCGTGGTTCTCGTTTTGTTGCTAAGAGCGAGGCTACGTCCGGGCGGAGACGCGAAGTGTCCTCACGACAGTTTACTTCTGTTGCAGCCGTCGTGGATGCGAAGCCGGGAGTATTGGGACGACAGTTTCGAGGCACGCTTCGCCGAGCTGAGGAAAGATCCGACGAGGCCGCCCTTGAAGGTAAGCTGATTAATTGTCGAAATATTCACGGGCACGCACGCACGCACGCACGCACGCACGCACGCACGGGTACGCCGCCGGCGGGCGCAATTCGCGTGTGCCGTGACTCTAAAGTCGGCTCGCCCAATAAAGAAACCTCACGTAGCCTCGCGTCCCTCCTCGCGATTGCGCTCGGTCATTACGCTGAAAGCACGTATTTATGCGCGCACGTAACGGCCATTTAAGCTTGTCGCCGTAAATCGCTCGGAGTGCCGACGACGACGTTCGACGAGCCCAATCTCCGTGAAAGTTTCGGCGCTGTCGACTAACGGCGGCGCGAGATCAATGCATCGTCGCGGCGCGACCCGACGTGATAAACACGATCATTTCACGTTAATCGCGTCAGATTCGTGGACCGTAGGATCCAATCGCGGACAACGCGGTCGCTTACCGCGCGAGTCCTTTCGATCAAGATCGCCCACTTTTCGCGCGTTCGCGCCGGGGAACGTTGCGCCCGAGGACCCTTCGCCGAGGCTGGACGGTACGCGAGAGGCGGGAATTATCTTATAAAATTATCGGACACCAAGTAGGAAAGGAGGGGGGGGGGAGCGGGAGAAGGGCGCAAGACGATATAAACAGCGAGAAACGTCCGAGGCGAATGCGAGCCATCCGTCCGCTCGCGCGAAAGCTCTTCACAGTGCTTTCACGTAGCCGTTAATGCGAGAGCGAAGATTTACGACCCCGGCGGCGGGGAGGGGGGGGGAGTGTAAAAAGCTCGTCCGGCGCACCCGGGCTGAATCGTGAAATCGCGAAGGAGGCTTTGTTTATGACGTTATAAAGCATCTCGATCTTTCGGGTTACTCGCGATTTGCTTTCCGCAAGCGCCTGCTTGAATTTATGCGACTCGAGCTCTTCCGATCTTTTTCTTCCTCCCTCCATTTCAAACATTGATATCCCACACTGCCACCCCCCCGTCTCGACCATCCCGCTTCCCTCGTCGTCTCCGTCAGCCCCCCCCCCCCCGCACCGCCCGTGGATGATACACTTGAATATCAATTTAGCCGACATTTGCAAAGATACGGTGTTTTCCTTTATCGTACGACGCTTTTATCTCGATCGCTCTGATCGACGAAGCCGCTTGGGAGACGAGTAGAATGCGCTCGTTAACGATCGGCTGCCGCTGTTTTATAAGGATATTCGGTGATATCGCGCAGAGCGTAACGACTCTCGAAATCGCGACGGCTCGGCACTGACAAGTAAACCTCGGGAAACAGTCAGACGCCGATTTGTTTCCAATTTTTTATAGTTGTTTTTTATGTCGAAATATGAAGAAATCTGTTATCACTTTTAGCTTAAATTAATTTTTCAATTTTCTCGAAATTTTTCAAATTTTGCACAAGTGACCTTTCGGCTCACTATCCAGCAACCAAGCTCATTTTAACGTCAAAATCTGAACGTAAAAAATGAACAAGAAATGGACAAAAAAAGAAGGAAAAAAAATTTTGCAGACGAGTGAACTGTCGTTACCCAACGTCGAATGTAGCGTCGAAAACTGAACACTTTTTCAACAACGACGTCAGCCGTATTAGATCCGCCATTTTGAATTTTACAAAATGGCTCTGATTCATAATCAGCGACATGTGTGTGCAAGTTTCAACAAATCAGATATATATATTTTCAAGAAATATTGTTTTAAATATATGTAAAATAGTATACTTGTGCAAAATTTGAAAAATTTCGAAAAAATTGAAAAAATTAATTCAAACTCAAAATGATAACAGATTTCTTCATATTTTGACATAAAAAATAACTATAAAAAAAATGGGAACAAATCGAAGTCTTCCCGAGGACTACTTGTGAGGAGATTATCGCGCAGTCCGGTCGATCGGAAGTCAGAATCGACGGGGCGGGGGGAGGTGGGAAAGGGGATATTTAAGAACACTGTTATCTGTCGGTGCACGCGTGCCTCAATGGCGCGCGACTCCTGGAGACCAGCGTTGCCAGTCATGGCACATTCGTACCACATGTGGCACAATTAAATTAAATTTAGTGATTTGGTGGTAAATTATGCATTTTTTGTGGCACAAAAGAAGAAAAAGTGATACAGTTCTATTTTTAAGTGAAAGTTTTAAATCTTTGGCTTCTATAACAAACACATCGCATTCTACAAGCAAGAGTATGTAGATTTAGTATAACCAAACATAAAGTAGCACTTACATTATCTGGAGTGCATTCGGAACTTGCACATTACGGATAAAGTAACTAGCATCGGATTAACCGATAAGAATGAAAAGAGCAAATATCTTTTTATCATGATTGGTTAATTCAATTACTCTACATTCAGGGCCGTATTCATAGTCGGATCTTATATTTAGGACCGTCTTGAGTTCACCGTTCAGATATTCTGTAGTCAATGAAACGAACTGTACAGCATCTGAAGATGAACTTAGGACGATCTTAAATATAAGACCGGACTATGAATACGGTCCTCAGAGTAAAGTTTCCGCACTTCTAAAGATACACAAGAAGTGTTAGCTTTCAAGATGCAAATTTAAGATGCAAATATAAGATTAGACAATAAAAACTATTTATAGATATTCCTCAGTCCCTATAAAATCTTCAAAATATATGAATTTAGCTCGAATGGCACAAAACGCACTAATGTGGCACACTTTTTTTTTGGCACGATCCAACACGGTTTTGCTGGCAACACTGCTAGAGACTCGTCGCACGAGTAAGTGGTGAAAGGCACTTCTGTGTTCGGCCGTGTGCGCGCGAGACTTCAATCGCTAGTAGCGGGACGAGTTTTTAGTCGGACGCGCCGCGCGTCCCACGAAGCTTGCCGTCGTGTGCGGCGCGTCATCGCGAATGAACGAACGAACGAACGAACGAACGAGCGAACGAGCGAACGAGCGAACGAGCGAACGAGCGAACGAGCGAACGAGCGAACGAGCGAACGAGCGAACGAACGAGCGAACGAACAAACGAACGAACGAACGATTGCATTTCTGGCATAACGAAGTGCCAATTAATACTCCTCGTTAATTAAAAATAACGATACGTCGCGTAAGGCCAAATGAGGTAATTGTAAGCGCTCGCTCGGCCGGAGCCGACGAGTAACGAGGGATTGTTCGATGATAAAATTGATATAATCGTCGAGAGATCATCGAGGATAACGAGTGGCCGACGGTCATCGTAAGATTAAAAGATAACGGAAAAGAGCGAAAAAGAGAAAGAAGGGAAGAGAGACAGGGAGGGGAAACAGCTATTATCGCTTTTGCCGAAGAGCGTTAATTATTCGACCTCGCGACGACCCCGACAGATTTACGCGAGTTTGCCGGCGAAACTCGACGAAACGCGCCGGCGCCGGCGCGAATATTAATATTCGATACTGGTTTATTCCCAACGTGACGTAATAAATCGTAAATTATTCAACGCGCGAGCCGCGCGCGCGCGCGCGCGCGCCTGCGAAATTACGCGCGGCCAAAGTTTATCTGTTTACTTATTTACCGGCCGGAAACGCATCGACGCGTGCTCGGAAAAGTCTCTCGTGTGCGCTACGAGAGCGGCAGTAAATCCCACATGTTGCGGTTTTCCGGCAAACCTTTGTACGGCTCTCTCTCTCTCTCTCTCTCTCTCTCTCTCTCTCATTAACTATCGTCCCTAGACCCGACGTAGAGCCGTTTGCTCTTGACGAGGCAACTAACGGGATCGTTTGATCAAAGCTCGAGCGAACAACTCTCAATTATAACCCGACCGTTGCAATTTTCTATTTCCGTCCGCTCTTCGCGAGCGAACGCGCGGCCGCGCTCTTCCTCGGCTTCGATCGCGACAGCCGGTGTTTGTCGTCTTGATGAGACTCGCGACTCGATTAATCATTCGTTGCCGAGGCAACATTCGGAGCCGTCGGATATAATCGTCGAAAAAGGAAACATCGGATTGCTCGCCGCGGAATCCCCGGCGACGACGAGGCGGCGAAAACGTCGTGTTGCCGCGCGGCTGCGCTCGTTTCACAAACGACACAAATCGACAACGGCGTATCCGAGTATGATCCCGCGCAATTTATTACGCGGACACTCGGTATGTTTGCGCGCGCCCGGACAGGCATTATTATCGTCGCGCGCGCGCGCGAGCGTCGTGATAATATTACGTATTTTTTATAATTCATCCCTCCGGCGTATTCTTGTTTCCCACCGTCGCTGTTGTCGCACTCACGGGGCGGCCATCAGCGGCGATATGATAAATTAGCGCTCTTCTTGCGACATTAATATTTTGCCGCGATGGAATTACGCGGCCGTCTGCGTTAACATGGCGTCGCGCCAGGCGACGGGTAATTACGCGCAGACAGAACGAATTCTTTCGTCGTCGTTGTCGTCGTCGTCGTCGTCATCGTCGTCGTCGTCGACGGGTAATCGCGCGGAAAATCTGGAATATGTAAAAGTCATCCGCGCCGGCGTTCCGCCACGCGCTTTAACTTTTCGATTCGCCCGTCGGAGGCCGGAAGAAATAAGGCGTCGTCGAATGAATTCCGAGAGCGATGCCGCCGCCGCCGACGACGACGTTCAACGGTCAACGAGCGTGGGCTCCGTCGTATACGTTGTATACGTTGTGCTGTCTAGTCTTGGCAAAAAAAATCCGCAGGGGGGTTGCGAGGGGCGAGCTCGCCGCAATGAACAATCATCGTCGAAGCGCATCTGCTCCTCGACGATCCTCGACGAGATGAAGATCGACCGCGCTTGACGCGGCTCGCGGATGCGGTCTGTCACGATTTCCCCGCTGCTCTCTCCTTTTTCTTTCCTCCTTCTCTCTCTCTCTCTCTCTCTCTCTCTGCCTCGAAAAGACGAGGAGAGTTTCGATAATTACGAACATCTTCCTCTCGCTCGACGGCCACCGGCCAGGTGTCGTCGCTAGAGGAAGTTTCCTCCGCGCGTTCCTCGAAGGTGCAATTGCTTTCTCCGCGGAGTGCACTGGCAGCTGCTTTATTTACTATTTTATTAGTAGACCCGAGTGGCCCCCCCTCT